TACTGTCCAGAAAATTCGACTCATTCTATCACAAAATTTTTCGTAGACCGTTTCCTAAGTTGATTGGTGATCTAACACTCATCCGGGGGGGGGGGGCTGAGTCCAAGACTTTGAGTTCCTTCTATGTTTCCCATCAAAACGCCTAACGAGCTATGCACCTTATAACACCTACGCTAATTGTCCATCTCGGATGTGAAAGAAATACATGTGGAAAGGAAATGATTCATGACTTGTGTCGAGGGCCACACTAGTTGCCTGCGCAAGACCTCTTGCTGCGCACACGAAGTTAGAAAGGAAGCTGACACACGATTGACCGTACATGGTGATTTTGTTCGATGTAATCTTCGAGGTTATAGCTAATCCTTTAGAGAACTTCTGCTATTTATCCTGGTGCACTCTTATTTCTATTCGTAGTGAGAATTTGGAGCACCAAGCTATGGTTTTCTTTGAGCTCCTAAAAATGGCTTCGATGCTCATGGTAGACCCATCAGGCGCGTATAAAAAGAGTCTGGCTTCCACATGGAGAAAGGGAGCACTCAAACCATAAACTCTAATAGAATTATCCATATCCGCGGACAAGTCTACCGTCCACCGCACGTTCTGATGTATAAGAAAATTCAAACTTTAAGGACTCGAGGTGTCCTATGATTTATGCAAACGGACCCTACAAAACCCAAAAACCAATGTCACAAATAACGGAAAGCCAATCGAATCCTTGGCACTTCTTATCTACTCTATGATTCTTGCAACGCACTGTCGGAAAATTCCTATCATCACCAGTATAAGAAAGTATTCGATCGCTAAAAACCAGCCAATATCCAAAGCATGGTAATGGCTGAGGCATGTGAACACCCAAGAAATTTATTACTATTTCAATCCTCATCATGCTAACTTGTTAAGTTACAGAAAAAACGATTTATTGGCTCTGCTAATTGATAAATTACTTGCTTATCATCTATTTCCTCTGAATACCATCCGGTCACAATTCAAAAAAATTCAATCTTCAATTCATCGGAAGCCATACACTCATATACAAACCAAACTTTTGGGCGTCATTGTTTGACACGAATTCATAGCGGCCTTCCTGAAAAGAGCGAAGAAGCGTAATACTTTATTAATTTTAGCAGTTATCCTACTATATATAATCGGCTAAGCGGTGTGTGTGTGTGTCTGACCGGAAATTCATAACTTCGTTCCCTTTGATCCCAGAGCGCTCAAACTTCTAGGGTATATAGGGGGTCGGGCGTGAACACTGATGATGGGTGGCGGAAAGTGATAAGTACTGATAGAAGCTGATAACGCGTCAGAATGCCCGATTCAACTCCAACACATCTTATGCGTCGCGTTGGCAGTGGATTGCTAGCACTCATGAATATTGTGTAGGGTAGGACTGGGACCCAAATGGTGAGCGAAGGAAAGTGATAGCAAATGATAAGGGCTGATAAAGGGCATCGGAATGCTAACGTCGTCAGTTTCGCAACGCCCTTTGCGTTGACCCTAAGATGTTCGCACTCATGAATATTATGTGGGGTGAGGCAGGGACCAAAAGGGTGATTGGAAAAAGGTGGTAGCAACTGATTAGAACTGATAAGGGGCGTCAAAGTGTGTGGATACTACCAGTTTCGTTGCGGCTTTCGCGGTGACATTGGAACCTTGGCTGTCACATGTGGTATAGGGGATGGGACGGGAACACGGATAGTGGGTGATCAAAAGCGATAACAACCGATAACGGTTGATAAAGAAGTTAGGATTTTGAGTACCGCTGATTTCGTTGTAGCCTTCGTGGTGATAGTAAATATTAGCTCCTACACGCTACAAATGGGACGGAGATACGGTGAATGTGGGTGACAGAAAGGGGTGAAAGGCAGGTGCACTAATAAAAATAGCGACAATTGAGTGTGCACTCGGTTAAACTGAACCAGATTCCTAGCACGGGAATATGTTCCATTTCCACCCTTTCATCTAAAAAAGCAAAGGAAGTTGAGCTGCTCCACTATCTGGACTTGGACTAATAGCGAATAAAATCATATTTCCAATTTCCATCATGGTTGATGCTGATTGATTGGTTATATTCCACTTACACACCGATTCTTCAATTGTGGGAATTCTATAAACCGCTAAATCGCCCGAGCTCGATATCAATGCTAAATGTTTACGAAGTCATGATAAGTACCATTTTCATTCCGCATGCTACTGCGCGCATTACGCGACAATCTTCAGCGAAACTGGACAACCTTTAAACATCATGTGAAACATCTTCCAAAACATCTTACTGTTAGTTTCTCAGTCACGTGACCTAATATTCTGCAAGTTGTCCAGTTTCACTAAAGCCCACCATTTGATGCGCGCGGTTGCGTGCGGAGCTAAACTGGTGGAACATTATTTGATGGGGATCAGAAAGTGATAACGACTGGTAATAGCTGATAAGAAGCGCTAGAGCGCAAATCTCACGATTTTTATAATTCACGTCCCAGTAGCACTGGATTGGCCAAGAAGAGTGACCTCAAGCGAAGGATAATGGAAGTTCGGTCTCCCAGATCCTAACGGGCCAGTACAGCGGACTTGGGGCAACGCGGCTGAGACCATCCTGCGATGTGCCAAGGAGGTACTGGGCGAGACGCGAGGTGGATTCAGAGGAGACAAGGCAGCGTGGTTCTGGAACGAGGAGGTCCAGCGAGTCGTGAAGCAGAAGAAGGAAGCATACAAGCGCTGGCAGAAGACCCGGAGCCCCGAGACCTCGCTGCCTACAAGAGTTGCAAGAGGCTCGCTAAGGCTGCCGTCGCCAAGGCAAAGAACACGGAAATGGACGCCTTGTACGAGAAGTTGGAAAGCAGAAACGCAGAGAAGTTCGTCTTCAGGACTGGCTAAAGCCCGGCATCGGGCTACCCAAGACATCAGGGTGGTGAAGAGTGTGAAAGCAGCGATGGTGTCATCCTAAGGAAGCCAGCCGAAGTCAAGAGGAGGTGGGAAGAGTACTTACAGGGCACTTCTGAACGAGGAGTTCCCCCACAAGAACAACTCACGGGCAGAGGCCACAGCTGGTCCCATCGCACTCTGGACTGAGGATGAGGTTAGGTGTGCACTTGGGAGGATGAAGGTTGGAAAGGCGGTTGGTCCAGATGGGGTGCCAATCGAGGCATGGAAGGCGCTCGGAGAGTACGGGATAAGATGGCTCACCACGCTTCCTGAACAAGGTAACTGCGAAGGAAGGATGCCGGATGCCTGGAGAACAAGTACTATCGTCCCCATCTTCAAGCAGAAGGGTGACGCGATGGACTGCTCCAACTACCGCGGGATCAAGTTGACTGCGCATACCATGAAGTTGTACGAGCGACTGGTCGACTCGAAACTGCGGGAGCTGGTCCCGATCTCCCAGGAACAGTTCGGGTTCATGCCCGAAAGGTCTACAACGGATGCCATCTTCATCGCAAGGCAAGTGATGGAGAAGTATCGAGAAAAGCGCCGACTACCTAGCCTTCCTCGACCTGGAGAAGGCGTTCGACCGGCTACCGCGAGCAGTACTATGGAGATCGCTCAGGGAACGGAACGTGCCAGAACACCTGATCTCGCTGGTGAAGGACATGTACGAGGGGCTAAGGCAGCCATACGCACCCCACACGGCCTAACGAAGGAGGTGGACATCACGGTTGGGGTGCACCAAGGGTCAGCTCTGAGCCCGTTCCTCTTCCTCCTAACACTAGATGTCCATGGTGAAGGGGCTCATGGAAGGACCACTGAAGACCATCCTCTACGCTGACGACATCGCCCTGATAGCGGATAGCAGAGAAGAACTTCAGGCCAAGGTGCAGAAATGGCAGAAAGTCCTGGCAGAAGGTGGGCTCCGGCTGAATGTCAAGAAGACCAAGTTCCTGAGCTCTGAAGAGGGTGCAGAGCCGATCGTGGACGGCCATGGTGAAAGCATCGAAAGAGTGGAGGACTTCCGATACCTTGGGAGCGATCTGGCAGCCGACGGCAGTGTGGATCAGGCAGTAAAGGGAGGATCAACGCGGCATGGATGAAATGGAGGGAGTCCACTGGAATCCTCTGCGATCGAAGGTGCTCCAGAACGCTCAAAGGGAAGGTGTACCGGACAGTGGTAAGGCCTGCGATGCTATACGGCAGCGAGTGCTGGCCCCTGAACAAGAATCACGAAAGGCAGCTTCACTCGCCGAAATGAGGATGCTGAGATGGGCCTGCGGCTGGACGCGACTGGACAGGGTCAGAAACGAGGATGTCAGAGCGGTCATGCAGACTGCCCCTGTCCAGCTGAAGGTACGGGAACAGCGTCTGCGATGGTATGGGCATGTGCTAAGAAGGCCACAGGGCCACCCAATAAGGAATGCAATGGACTTTGAAGCGCGTAGTATCTCCAGTTCCAGTTCCAGAGCTCCGGTGTTCCAGAGCTCTGGTGTTCCAGATTCCAGCGTTCCAGTGTTCCGGTGGCATCTGTGTGGTGCCTTAGTGTGTAGTTGGTTGTGAGCTGTACGGCCCGTAAGAAAGAGGGCCCAGGCTCAGAAGTAGCCTTTGTGGCGAGGTGACAAGAGCCTCAGTGGCTCAGTGGTTTGGCCTCAGTGGCCTGAGGAGAGGAGCCTTAGTGGCTCGGTGAATTGGCCTCAGTGGCCTGAGAGAGGAGCCTTAGTGGCTCGGTGAATTGGCCTTAGTGGCCTGTTGGGAAGAGCCTCAGTGGCTCAGAGGAAAGAGCTTTCGTGGCTCATCAGAGAAGGGATTGCGCCGTGCACCTGGTTGCCGACCTCGGCTCGGTGGTCCGGTCCCATCGATACAACCCGCCTCCGATCGCCCCGTGATCTTTGTTGTTTGTATATTTATTGTTGGTTTTTCTGATCTAAATAAACCTTCCTTTCTACTTGTCTCTAGCACAGTTTGAAAGGGTTACTCCCACGTCGCAGCAACGAATCCATCTTACACTACATGGGGGCCGAACCAACTGCGACGATACGAGTGACCAGCAGCTGAGCAAGTGAGACAAGCGCAGAGTTTAGGAAGGCGGGTGATCAGAAGGCTGACTCCGAAAGAAAGAGGAGCCGAGAGATCGACAGTGGGTGGAAGAAGGAAAGCACCCGAAGAGAAAAATCAAGAGGTCAACAAGATGGAGGTCGAAGGAGTGGGAGACAAGAACCAAGTGCCCGTTGGAGCATGTACCATAGATCGAAGGAATCAAAGGGGAGAAGGGGAGCATGAATGGGATATCAGCCTCCGAATTCTACGTGAGGCCAAGCGGAAAGCCAGCGAGGTTCTTGGGAAGTCAAGAGAGATTGTGGGTGGTGACTGGAGACCGCCTTGCCTAGAGGCAACTGATTGGCGCGGGAAGGTCCCAATAAAAGGGGTCCGGGTTCCTTCGTAGTATCTCCAGTTCCAGTTCCAGAGCTCCGGTGTTCCAGAGCTCTGGTGTTCCAGAATCCAGCGTTCCAGTGTTCCGGTGGCATCTGTGTGGTGCCTTAGTGTGTAGTTGGTTGTGAGCTGTACGGCCCGTAAGAAAGAGGGCCCAGGCTCAGAAGTAGCCTTTGTGGCGAGGTGACAAGAGCCTCAGTGGCTCAGTGGTTTGGCCTCAGTGGCCTGAGGAGAGGAGCCTTAGTGGCTCGGTGAATTGGCCTTAGTGGCCTGTTGGGAAGAGCCTCAGTGGCTCAGAGGAAAGAGCTTTCGTGGCTCATCGCAGAGAAGGGATTGCGCCGTGCACCTGGTTGCCGACCTCGGCTCGGTGGTCCGGTCCCATCGATACAACCCGCCTCCGATCGCCCCGTGATCTTTGTTGTTTGTATATTTATTGTTGGTTTTTCTGATCTAAATAAACCTTCCTTTCTACTTGTCTCTAGCACAGTTTGAAAGGGTTACTCCTCTTGTCGCAGCCACGAATCCATCTTACACTACGTGGGGGACGAGAACCAAGTGCCCCTTGGAGCATGTACCATAGATCAAAGGAACCAAAGGGGAGAAGGGGAGCATGTATGGGATATTAGTCTCCGAATTCTACATCTATACGCTGCTGTTACCGATGATCTTCTCGATTGCAGGAATTTTTTTCTTATAATGACCATCAACCGCAAAAACGCGCTGCAGATTGAATTACAATCATCAAGATTCTTTATCAGTAGAGTGAAAATGCCATTAAATATATTCAAATCGACCTTCTATCATGCTGCCACCAACAATAGAATGTCTATCTCTAGCTTTTTGAAGATGTGGCAAGCAGTTTCGTTAATGGTCAAGTAACAACTAGCTCGCTCGCAGGCCATGAAAAAAGTACCTATTCAAGCCCTCAGAAACCGATCTTTTCTCGAGCAAGTTTCTGACTTAAAATTATTTCATCTGAATCGATTCCCCCAACTTACTTGATCATGAAAGACAAAGTAACATTAGAACAAAGACATCGCTGTGTCCATTACACAGATTTCCATCACTCTCTCAAGCAAAAATTTGCGCGAGGTTCTAGATATAATTAGAATACCAGTTTAGCTCCGCACACTACCGCGTGCATGACACGGAAAAGCTCCGTAAAGCTGGCCAGCCGGCGGAGCGTTCCGCCGCTAAACAATAACTTGCTTCGTGAAATGCGTTAGCTGGCCTTCTACAGAATGCCCATTTTAAGCCAACCGTCTGATACGCGCGGTGGAGTGCGGAGCTAAAGTGGTGTCTGTAAACAACCACCATGCATTGGATGTCAGGATGATTTAGCGGTCGAATAATATTGATGCCAATGATTTTGCAATAGAAATACCCATTATCGTATATCGCTAAACATCCATCATACATTCTTAGGGACTTTGGGATTGTAGCGGTCGAACGGTATTTTATGTTGATGACAACAACGCAATGAGATGATACTGAAGTGAAATGCGTTATCTAGAATATGGTTTTAAATGGTCTCTATGTTCCTACGAATATCGCAATTATCGGCCCTTATCGGCCCTTATCACTTCCTGTACCCCACCGAACATGTTCCCGTCCCACCCTGTACATCACTTCTTGGAACCAACGCCCCACTGCTGCTGGGACGCGCGCTATGAATTTCGTGAAATTTGCGTTTCAGCGCCTCTTATCAGATCTTATCAGTCGTTATCACTTTACCCCACCAAATATGTTGCCGTCCCACCCCCTACACCATACTCAAAATACAGCGTTCCATGCCTGCAGCGAAGCGCGCTATGAATTTCGTGACAGACGGACGTACGTACAGACAGACACACACACAGACAGACATACTTAGCGAATTATATACACTGCGTTTCATAATTATAGGTCCACCCTAAATTTTTGCTACCCCAAAGTTGCTGTGCATTTTTTGGAAAATGCTGCTATCACCATTAGATTCCTCATCACGGAAAACCTTCATAGTGTTTTTCTGACAAAGTTCCCCCTCAAGTAACCCAATTAACTTTTTCAGAACGAATTTTCACCGTTTCATGAATATCGGGCCACTCATAAAAAGTTTCCATTTCTCACGATCCGTGAAGGGAATCAGGGAAGCGGGGATATATGTGAGCTCAGTCGACATCGAGTTTACCATACCTCGTGTTATTCGCCTCTCTTCCCAGTAACAAGCTCAAGCCAGAGCACTTACTGAAGTGGGATAGCTGAGGAGCAGAATTTCCTCCCATGTCGGCCGGCTCATACTGCATAAGCGACTATGTGCAAAATCCTGGTCAGTGCGGAGAGAAGAGTCGCTTAGGTAAATAAAGACTGCGTTTCCTTCAAAATTTAGGAGGAATTGGGTGTCTTCTCTCGAATTATACAAGGAGTCCGAACAAAGTCCGTGCTGAAATGCGGCCTTCCGTGAGCAAAACCACCGTGTGGTGAGTAAGCCAGCAGAGCAATAACATCTTCAAGCGGATTGATGAAGAGCGTTCCAAGATTATTTGAGCGCTACAAGATCGCACGTCTCCATTTCTCCGTGGAAAAGGGCTCAACTTAATGAACGATGGTGTGAC